TAGTGGTTGGGTCAAAAAAAAAAAAATAGGCTGATGTATTGGGTGGTTTTGAAGTGGCTAAGCTGACACACTGAGACAGACATTTCACAGTTTTAGATCTTATAGTTCTTATATTGATTTTGAATGGTTTTTAAAAGTTCTGATCTGCCAGTTTTAGATCAGTTTGGGTCTTATAGTTTCTCAACATCAGTAAGATATCAGTCGTGAATAATAAATGCTATTTGAAATTCACCCATTTTAGTCTTTGTAGCCTTCGTAGTTTACTCAGAAGATCTTTATTTGTTTCATGTATTTTATTTTGTAGTACTTTTAAGTGTTACTGTAGCTCTCCAGGACCCACATGTTGTGTGTGGTTTAAAAGGTCTGCAAGAGCTAATGAAACTAGCCTATCTTTTACCACAGACATGATCACTCATTTTTGGGGCTTGGGGGCGGGGTTGTCACTGCTCTGTCTTTCGGAACCACGACATGAGATACTGAACGTGTTGAGGTTTCGATCTCAGTTTCAGAACCTTACACCATTACTTCAAGTTGTTTTATATTGTAACCAAAAGCCTGATTTGTGCTTCTGTGTCGCACCTACACAAGTGGCCTATGCTGTGGTGAGCATTTGTAATTGTGTGCTGGTGTGTCTGTCACTCAGCAATTACACTGCCAAAAAATCTAGGTGATACATAGTTTTGGATGTTGTATTTGTCTTTCCACATATTTTCTTTTCTAAAGTGTAATAAGTCTAAAGTACTTGAACTTTTTTTTTTAGGCTTAAGATATTTGTACTTAACGAAGGTAAGTGTCATCCTGCGGTTTGTAGACCTGTTGCTGCGATGCACAGGGTGGGTTATTTAATGCTAGACACAAACAGCGCTTCACTTTCAATCAGCGATATAAATACACCTGGGATGTACGCTTTCCTCACTCCCATAAAAAAAAACAAATGCTGCCAAGCGGAGCAGTGAGTTATTGTGGTTGGTGACGCTGTGACGTGTGGTTACATTTCTGGGGAAGTGCACGCCCGGCTACGGCACAGGGTGCACGGTCATGCCGTGTAAATCGGCCTTTAGGCCTGGTAGAGTTTATTATAGTTACAGCAGTGGTGTCTCTTTAGTGATGAATTTCCCTGCAAGGTGGGCTTTATATTTTTATATGGGTGGTCTGGGTGGGGAAATTCTAAGGTTACTTTTAATCGGGGAGGATGCAGATGCTGAACCTGACTTACAGGCAAGTACTCCATCATGAAAACACGAAAACTCCTCCTTGCTGTAGCTTCTATAAATGCTGCCCCCAGTCTCGTTAGCCGTGGCTGTAATGAGATCCCCCCCCCCCCACCTTGTTCCACCCAGGCGCGGGTCTGAGCGGCCGGCAGATGCACCGTACGCAGGCGGTGTTCAACCACACGGAGGACTACGTTCTGCTCCCGGACGAGCGTACCATCAGCCTGTGCTGCTGGGACTCCCGCTCCGCCGAGAGGAAGAACCTGCTGTCTCTGGGTCACAACAACATTGTGCGCTGCATTGTGCACTCGCCGACCAACCCCGGCTTTATGACCTGCAGCGACGACTTCAGGGCTCGATTCTGGTACCGACGCACAACTACAGACTAAAGGGAGGCCAGAAATAGAACCCTTCCCCACAGACCATCCCCCTATCCAAGCATCGTGATGTAGATGCATCAACAACAGAGCCTGGGCGGTTCGCACGATGAAGATAATGAAGATAGTACAAGATTAAACGTCAGTTTAAGTTTCATCTCGAGAGAGTTGACAAAGAAACCGTTTTAATTGCCCAACGTCGTTTAGAATTATTGTTTAGTCACTGAATGACATTAGCTTAGGTGCCACTGCTGGATGGCACCATTTTGCTGTTTTCAGTGGGTTGTCGCTCTTAAAGTAGACCGAGAATATTTAGGTCATGACATCAATCTGCAAGATCTGAATTTCACTCAAATGATGCAAAAGGTCTTTCTTGGTTTTTGTTGCTGATGAAAATCTAAAACTAATTTTCATCTGGTGGTTTTTTTTTTTTTTTTTAAGCTGTAATTACTGGTCACTGTGATGTTTTTTTTCCATTAAACCATATTCATGTAAAAATTTGTCTTTCCTAAAACTGATCAGCTTATAACCGTAAAACGAAGATGTTTGTTCAATACCGGATAATATTTAAAGGGAAAAAAAACTCCATAAAGTTTTTCACGAAACCTTTGAAACTCTGGTTTATGCCACATCCTGATATAAGAAAAATATTATATATCATGTAGCTAATTTTTATGGAATCATTTAAGGATCGAAACTCATAACTTTGCCAAATGGAAATGCTGGTTTGTCTCCGGTGCAATTTGTTGGAACGGCGCTGACATCAACCCACTCTGCCTGAGAGACGTTCTGTCAGTGAGCTGCATGTTAGAGCCATTAGTCCATAAAACACAGAGTATATATGCAGAGTTAGAAAGTAATAAATAAATAATAATAATAATCATAGCAATACTAAGATGCATTGTAGAGCATCACAAGAAAAATTACCTCATGTCATTTGTGGTTCTGGTTATTCACTATAATGGAAAAACTTGCATGACTAATGAGGTTGTGGAAGTTGGTCGGAAGACCTGGTTCTCACTCTTTCCAAATGACACCGATAGAACATAAGAAAATAAGAACTATACAAACGAGAGGAGGCCATTCGGCCCATCGAGCTCGCTTGGGGAGAACTTAACTAATAGCTCAGAGTTGTTAAAATCTTATCTAGCTCTGATTTAAAGGAACCCAAGGATTCAGCTTGCACTATGTTATCAGGAAGACTATTCCATACTCTGACTACACGCTGTGTAAAGAAGTGCTTCCTTAAATCCAGTTTGATCCGTGGTTGCTAGCATTAAGATGTGTGTGCCTCTAATTCTCTTAGCTCTGCCCCCCACCCCCGCCTTGTTAGCTGAGGCTCGAATGAGGTTTCTTCCTCAGATGTGTGCATAATACTGAGAAAAGTGAGCGGTCTGTGAGCATCACAGTATCGTGTCTGGTTTGCTGTCTGCGCAAACCATTGTGCCACATCTTTAAAGGTGGGTGGGGGGAGGGCAGGGTGGTTGGGTTTGCTGCCAGGGACAAAGCCCTTTACAGGCTAGTGGTAGACATGGAGTTTCTGAGTAACACATCTTCTGTTTGGATATTTTAGCTACTTTCTAGCTGAAGGTGCCCAACTGTACCTGATACAAGGTGCTTACTAATGTTCTATGAATGTTATGAAGGTGCACCGAATGTTCTATGAATGCATTATGAATGCATTATGAAGGTACACTGAATGTTTTACGAAGGTATTATAAAGGCATTATGAAGGTGCAATTAATGTAAAATGTTATGGAACATGTAATTGAATAATAACTAAAAACTTTTCCCTCCCAGTTCTACAGTATTTCACTGTCTTTGGATTGAAGATTCAAATCCATAGAAGACTCTGGGCCTTGGTCACGCTCCTTCAAAGTGTGTTATCTCCTTGATTGTTCTCACGGCTGACAAGGAAGGGCATCATTTCCGCCACCATGTGGATTGAATTTGTAGACCTTGGCTCATCTTCTCAAAAACGTTTTTGATGCAAGTTCCACGAGTTATTAAAATGAAGAAACGTCAGAAGCGTCACAGTTCCCAGAAGACTCAACCTTTGGTATCTTTTTTTTTTTTTTTTTTTTTTTTACAGAATCCCCTTTTGGTGTTATGCAATAATTTATGCTGGTTCTGACGTTTTACACATGAAATCTTTAAAGGAAGTTTCTTACTTCCCTACTAATGCTTATATGATAAATACGTACATAATGCATTCTGTCATTTGTTTATTATTTGAATTATAATCAGGTGAGTTTTAGTAGTGATATTGCAGTCCTTCCAGAACTTACATCGAGGACGATGTCACCATTAATCTGTGGTCCATATGCAATGAACAGTCCTCATGGCGTGGGTTTCAGTTTAATTTGACCCTCCCCGGGAGGAAGCAGAAATGTGGACTGTCTGTCAGGGGGCTGGGGGAGAGCAAAAACGTGGACTGTCTGGGGATTCCTCGGCACCAGAAACACTGCAGCTTCAGGATTTATGATGTCAAATTTTGAAAAAAGTCAATGTGACCTCAAGTTCATCCAGTAGCCCTGCGAAAATGGGCCATTCTGCCAGAAACCATTTTGTAAATGCAAAAAAACAGTAAAATAGGGAAGTTACATGTTCTAAATCTATAAAAGCCACTAAGGGGAATTTTGCCCGTTTTCCCCCTCTTCTTTATTTATATACGTGTTTATGATGTCATTTTGACGTTAAAAGTTTGCATGTCTATGGTTCTCTATGTGCCCTGTTTTCTGTCATTATCATAGGTTCTCATCTTTAGATTTTCACAAAGTTTCAAAAGTTAAATAGCCCAGAATCAAATTATATATATATTTTCTTTTAAAGACTATTGGCTTATCTTAGTCTGTATTTTCCTGGCCCGGTAAAACTTCACTTTTAAGTAGCAGTTCTAGGCAAAAATGACTACCATAGATTCGTGTGGGGATTACTGCGATTGGTGACTCCAGCTCCTCCCCCCAGCGTTTCCCTAAGTTCTGTCCCTCTGTGTTGTCTTGACGATAAATCCAAGGAGCTGCAGGGTTCATGCCTTTCAAACGAGCCACCGCAATAAATTGCGTTGTAGGCAGGGGGCTAGAAATCCACCAACAATTGAGCAAACAAAGGAAACAAGAAGATTAGACCTATCTGAAGTATCCCATCACACTGAATGGATGCCGGCATCAGTGTAATACTTATTCTGAGTAAACTGATGTGTTTACAAGATAGTTTTCAGTTTATCAGGTAGAAAAATAAGAGTTGCACCAGAGAATGGGAGGAGATGAGAGAGAGCCTGGGAGGAAGTGAGTGAGAAGGAACGAGACCGTCTGTAGCAGCTGGCCAATAGGACAGCAGCAAAGCTCTTCCGTCATAAGTGTGCAAACTCTCTCTCCGCCCCCAGTTGTAAAGTGCTTGAATCACAGTGACAAGTCAGACAATGTGTGTGTGTGTGTGAGAGAGAGAGAGAGGGGGCTGTGAGGACGCTGAGTTCATTCTGCTTGTCGCAATGTTAGTGTCAGTCAATGTGCTGAGTACTGGATTCCACTGAACCAGGCTTCTAAATGGACTGTATCCCAGAGTACTTGGATGTATCGGATGATTGATTCATAGAAATGGAGGTGAGTGACTTACTCGTAGCGTTTTCTCTGATGCCTTGTATTTCATTGGTACATATTTCTGCTTTTTCGCTGAGTTTCAAAGTTCACCAGGGTGATGCCATTCGAAGTGACACTAGTAGTGTTTCTAGAAGTTTCTCATGCAAAATGTGTTCATTAAGAGCACCTTCTTGGGTTTATAGCTAAGTTGTAGTGTCAGGCAGCCCACCCCCTGCCCCCTGAACTGCGTAACCTGATAGGATTCTCAGCTCCTAAAGGAGGGAGTTGAATGGGACCTTGAAGATCTCATTAACATACGCTTCTGGGAAGCTGTGAAATCAGGCTGCCAATCAATGGGGCAGTGAGAGCAAATGTTTCCACAGCAAAACTTACAAGTACAAAGTTTTACGGTCCAGTGTTTCAACTTCCCTGTTCAGTAAGTAAGCTCTTAAAATGTCCTTTTCTCAGTTTTTCTTCTCTGTAACTGTCATGATTTTGATGTTATATTTCAGCCACTCATTTCAGTTAAATCTGCTTTTTAAAAATCGACTTTGTTCACAGTTACTATTAATTGTGAAATGGATTTACGTTTACTGAGTGCAGTTTGTTTGTCTAATGCAACAAATTTGCATTAATTAGTTTGATGATTTAATCTGCTAGATAAACTGGTCCCAGCTGGGTACAGCCAGTAACAAGACACACTGGAAATAATGATCTCCATGGAGCTCAGGAGAAGTGTCTCTGCTCGCAGCTGGAGCTCATGGTGGGAACCGCTGTCACAATGAACAGGCATATATCTCTACGCAATTCTGTTCACTTAAAACACTGAAGAAACAATCCTTAAAATGAAGTTGTCCTTGATTGCGTGGTTGCTATTAAAGTTAGACAACGGTCAAGTGAGGTCAAGTGCACAAAAATCTTCCTTTTTCGGTTTCTGAATTATTCTGTATAAATGATGTATTACACCACACCCCTGTAAAGCACCTTGTGGTGACTCTTGTGAAATGGAAGTAAATTGAATTGAATTCAATTGAATTTTTTTTATTAGATGTTCAGAAGTTCAACACGGTATATTAGAAATTCCAAGGGGACCCACGTACTGGGCTAGAAACTTCTGATAAAGTCACGGTGAATGGTTTGCTCTGGCTGTTGTGTGTGGAAAGCATTTTGAGTGCAAAAATGCGTAACGGCGAATGGAGAGGGACAGTCTTGAGAACATCACCAGCTCTTCCACCTAGTGCTCCCTCAAGCTGGAGAAGTACGGAGCCTTCTGCATGATTGCTTCTTAGCTCCCAGGGTTATAGAAGCAGCACTTTGCTGTTCCTTCATGACACTGTCTGAACTCCTCCAAAGCAGCTGCAAATTGAGCAATGCAGCAAGAACAAAGACGGACTATTTTTGATAGCAGAAACAAAAGTCATACGTAGCCATGGAAATGGGACTGCAGGGCCGACCAGCATGATGAGCTGGCCTTGTGTTCCACTTCAAATGCTCCTAAAGCCATCGGTCATCACCCTTAAAACAAATTCATTCACAAAGTTTAGGCGTATTAGGAAAGTGTCGCTGTTCTGTTCTTCTCAGTTGTGCTAAGACTGAGCTGGATCTTGCCATCCATTTTGTAAGCATTGAGATTCTGTGTTTTTTTTCTCCCCCCACTGAAAAGTTGCAGATAATGGGGCCCATGGCTGTGCTGGGGTGGGGGTGGGTGGGATCAGCTCTGTGCTCATTCAGTATGGCTGCTAGGGTGGTTACAGATCTGACACAATACTTTCTGGGGAGATGGGAAGGGGAGGGGGGGCGGGGGTGGTAAACTGAGTGGTGAAAGAGACAGTGAGAAAGCAGAAGATGATGTAGTTCAGGAAGTCCGTTCTCAAATATAGCCAGAGGGTAGTCTACAGATAAATTGGGGAGCTTGCTAAGGATGCACTGCGTTACGCTCTTTGAACATTCCCAGCAGATCAGGCTGCTACTGAGGGAGACAGCAAAACAAACAACATCAGTGTGACACCTTTCAATTGACAAGTTTTCTCAGTTCTGAAGGACCGTTGTTTCCTAAAAATAAGATGCATTTCCAGGTTATCTGTAAGATTCCCCACTGAAGACATCCTAGGGTATAAGCGTCATGATTTACTGAATGTCTGCTTAGCTCAGCCACGAGAAAATTATTATGCTGATTCCTTAGACCAGGGGTGTCAAACTCCAGTCCTGGGGGGTCGGATCCCTACACATTGTTGGGTTTCCCCTCATTTAACACAACTGATTCAACTCCTTGCACCTCCTTGTGCTAATTACCACATCACTTTTGAGCTGAATCATTTATGGCGGAACAATAAAAGAACTAAGCTGCACAGGGCTCTGCCGCCCCCCCCCCAGGACTGGAGTTTGACACCCCTGCCTTAAACTGAATGTTAATTTCAGACTCCAATTGTATGTGAGGTATGGGGTCATACAATGGAAAAAAAAAATATGCACATAAAGTATCTTTATCTACAGATTTGTTCCCCATACATCAAGAAGCTCTAAACTGAGTAATTGTAAGCAGTTTATCTTTATGTGAGGTAAATAATAACTTACCAACTTTGTAAGATGTGGAATCCACTGAATGAACATTAATGGATGGTACGATACTGTAGACTTCTTCTGAGCAATTATGTCTCTGAAACAAAAGTACCTTTTGCTAGGTCATTTTGCACTGAGTCCTCACAATCAAATGACCTGAATCATTCAGTAACACCACTTAATCGTATTGCATATCTCTGGACCGTGCAAGGAACCCTGAGAACCCCGAGGAACCCATACCGGATTTTATAACTGTTAATGATCTCTTTTAAAAAAAAATTCCCGTTATTTCACTTGTTTTGCAATTGACTTAACAAATGGATGGAGTTGTTTTAGGTGCTGTTCAGATGAAGGAAAAATAAGCATTGCACCTCTTCGAGGTGTGGTTAACGATTCAGATGATGAGTGGCAGCTTGGAGACGTTCACATTTGGTTGAGGGGATTAATGTAAACACAGCCAAAAATAAAAGTGCATTGCAGAGTTGGGGCAGTTTGAGTGAACTTGCTGTGTTTTGTTCTCATGTGATGGTGCCCCCCTCCATAGATAAACAACATGCCTCTGTGTGAAAATCTTCTATTTCGGCCTGCAGGTCAGCTTCATGTTCTGCACATACATGGATTATCTGAAGAATGCAGTGTCAGCTTCGTGAATGTAACCTGGCACTCGGAGTTTACATATTTACCGGAGACAGATCCTCTTTTGCCATGTGAGGGTATTGCATGCATTCGACTGGTCAGAACGAGTCAGTCTGGCTCTCAGCATAGGAACTAGAGAGGGTCCTGCTGGTCAATATCAGGGAGGTTTTCAGTATGACACCATCATAAATAAACAATTTGAATCTGACTGATTTCAGCATTATAGATGTGGTCTTACTGACACTTCGTCCATCTGTGATTTATGTCTGTATTACACTTGAGAGCTATAATGTGTTTCGGGTCACCCAGGCTCTCAAAGGGCAGAAGGTCAGAGTTAGCTATGAAAGAATGTTCAGCTCACTCTTTTTATTGTTCAGGAGGCTGTGCTGAAGCGATCTGGCAACGGGCAGGAAACGGCCATTTGAGACAACAAATGAATAAACATCATTGGCTGAGAAAATTGTGACACCATGTTTCAAATGTCTCCCCTCATAATTATTTATTCATGCTGGAATTTTGGAAGCCGTGATCCCTCAAGCTGCTCGCTCGACCTAGATGTTAGTGTCGGGTATCGTGCCGATCGCGACGGCGTGCGAATCAGGGGGATGCAGAAGTGTGAGGTAGCAGCACAGAGGCAGGCAGATTGTAAGGGTGCGTGTGTGTGCGTGTGTGTGCGTGTGTGTGCGTGTGTGTGCGTG